CCCAAAATAGTTCACCGTCCACAGGTCGGCGATGTAAAAAAGACAAAGCGAATCACCATACATCAAACACTCGAAGATCACGGGCTATTTACTGCATTTGTTTGAGCTATGTTCTGCAGGCTCTTTGAAGGGATTTTCTCTGAGCCGCTGTGTATGTTCAGCCTGGCGCATCATTATATGGCCTAAACAAGACAGAAACAAAGCACAAGCTCTTTGGTGCCCGTCCGTCTGTGCACTGAGACTGTATGTTTGTAAAAATGTGTTTTCCCCGATTACATTTAGGAGCTATTTATGAGGACTTTCAGAAAAATCTCCATTAGTACTACTACTGGAGTAAGGACACTTATAGAGTACAGTCCTAGTATTTCACATACAAATATAGCTACTAAACCTGGCCACCTTAACCTTAATGGTTCAACTTTTGCCCCACATTTTTAGGGACACACAATTTCAGAATCAATTTCAAAGACAGAACAAGATGGTACTGTAAAAAAAGTATGGGTGCTTTTAAATCTTTTTTTTTTTTGTTGTTTCCCTGTGACCAATGTTCTGAACAGTTGAAATAGCGCCAAAGTAACACAGAATAATCTCAAAAGTAGGCAACTGGACACACCTCAAGTATTATGACGACCTGGATGACTGAGAATATCCACAAATAAGTGACACAGACTACACTGCCCACAATGCATTGCGGACCTACACACCGATAAGCTAAGTGCTAAACCGCTTAAATTTAAACCGGCGTACACAAACAACCATAACGCAGCATGTCATCGACAACATTTTTATTTATATCGACGTCATACAGTGAGGTACCCCCCTGTTGCAACTTCAATTTTCAACCTCTAGTAGAAGAATCTTACAAAACACACGGACTCATTTCCTGGTCCGACAGCATAATGTGTCCCAGTAGAAGCGCGAACCACGGGAGAGCTCTACTTTAATGTTTTACCTCAGGACAGGAAGTGTTTATCTGTTGTTATTATTGTTCAACATTCAGTCGGTCCAGTCATAAATATAGATGTGTGGAAATATGTGCATGTTATGAGTCTTAGTTTTGGGAAATTTATATATATATATATATATATATATATATGTTTTGTCAACCCTGTCATAATGAGCTCAACCGTTTACCCAATCACGGGGGTGGTATTTAAAGGGTGAACCATGACGTCTCTGGCTCACAGGTTCCTCGACTCAGCCAACTACTATAACCATCTCCACTAAGTAAGAAGAAAATGTCATTATGTGGTTTAAAAGTCCAATTTGAAAGTGAGGGTTTTGTGAAGGACAGTTACCCCATCTGCTGGCAAGAGGGTTCTCTTGATGTGCTCCACCTGGCCCCCAAGCCCTTCCTGCGTGTAACCGAGAAATGCCATCATGCTGATTCGGCCTTTCTGACACAGCTACACCTTCGTCTTACCTTCTTTTTTCCGAGCACCATTCGAGCTTCTAAAGGTATGTGGGTGTGGTGGACCACACTTGTAAAGTAAGAAAAAAAACCAAAGCCAAAGGCGTGGGTTATTCAGTACCAGGCAGCACAAAGAGAATACCAAAAACACATATCAATTTAATTAAAAATAATTTCGAGACACACACACAAAAAAAAAATCCAATAAAGTAGACTAAAACACTGATATTTAGAATTAAAACCAAGGCAGACATCCTTTCTTTTCGACATATCTGTAAAAGAGGAAGAAGTTGTATTTAAAAAACAAACGCTTGTTGCCAAAGAATGGGACTGTTTTCCTGTTTTGCTTTGATGTTTTAAGCTTTCCTTCCGGGTGTTTCCAGGTGCTTGAATTCTACTTTTTTTTCCCCTGCTCCTCCTCATATTAGCCACCTGCTGAGCTGCAAATGGACTCTAAGGAGTTTTAACAGCTGCTGTTTCATTCACCTAGTGAACTGTAATGATTTATTCCCTTTTATCAGCCCAGAATGAGTGACGACTGACACATTTACAATCAGGGGATTGCAAGAGAGAGCGAGAAAGGGAAGGTGAGAGAGAGAGAGAGAAACACAGTGAGCGAAGCACAAGCAAAATCATTTCAAATCGTCGAATCAAATCAACAAGTACGAAAATCCAGGTACATACTCCCTGTGTTTTACAGGCAGAACAAGTATGTTCCAAAAATGAACAGCACTATGATGACCTCGGTTGCGGCAAAACCCCTGATCAGAGATAAATATTCTATCGGATTTGATCCAAAAAAAACGTACTAACTTCCTAATCCTGCCTCAATCAGATTACATAATTTACACGCGATAAGGGTTCATATTTTCAGAATACAATTCTGTAAATAAAACGATGGTTATTATTTGTCATGATAATATCTAAAAGTGGAATGTGAGTGTTGTTTTACTTTAAATATATTTGAAATATATATAAATATATATGTAAATATACATTTTATGATATTTGAAATATATATAAATATATATGTAAATATACATATATATGTAAATATATGTAAATATACATATATATTTATATGTAAATATACATTTTATGATTTAATTGTTTATCCATTCAAGTTTTAGAAGAAACGCTTCCGCCACTTTTTTCGTTCATACAGAGTAAAGGTGGAGATAAAGGAAAACTAGCATATAAACTCAATTCAGTGTATTATTTAATCATCGTTCAATAGATACAAACAGTAGACAGGTCATTCCTCAGCCACGTTGCTCTAAAAGTTTCATTCAAATGTATAAAAACGACTTTGATTTTACAGTATCCTACAAAAAAAAAAACAGGACACGCTGCCATTTTTTTTTTGTTTTTTTTAGATACTATGTACACATACATCAATATTGCCAAGCATATACACAAAATACAATCCTTAACTCACTGAAGTGCATGGATATACCCATGTCAGGGCCCTTTTGTATGGCAATTTTTTTTAAATTTATTTTAAAATGACAGGATTGTACGTTTAGGTGACCCACACTGCACTTATGTAGAAAGAGGCATGGTGAAGTATATATTTTAATATAAATAAATAGATATGTAAGTACCAAAAAAAAAATAGTTTATAAGCTGGACAAAGGCTTTTGATAGCAGTTTTAATGACTGGCCTTTGAGAAGATCAAAAAAAAAAAAATTACCCCCAAATATGGTAACAACAACACTGGGCAATAACTCCGTTTTTTTTTTTCTCCTACCAACCCAAGCAGTCTTCAGGCCCCAACACAATTGCAGTCTTTGGTTGAAACTTGAAATCCAAAATGTACCACTGAACGTTCAAAATCCATTTGTACAGGTTGGGCCAAGAAGCTAAACCCAAAGCGACATGGGACAATCTAGCACAACTAATTTGAAAAAAAAAAAAAAAAAAAAAAGAAAGAAAAATTGATTAGGTAACAGAACTGGTTGTACTAGTCGTGTCCATAAAGTTCTGGCAAAGTGCAAAATCCTGAATGTGTACCACATCTGCAACTTCTTTAGCCCACTCTGGGTTTTCATTGGTTGTTTTCCATTGAATTTGCATTGAGTTGAAACTTAAAGCAGGAATTCTTTTTTTTTTTTTTTTTTTTTTTGACATCCACATGATGATATAAACTTGATGTGCCACACGGATTCTCGCATTGTACATCGATGGAATGTCCACTTTTCACAAGGGCACCTTGAATGTCCGTGTCCATCACTGCTACAGTGCACCGAACCAATACTTGAAAGTTGTGAGGTTATTGATAATATTCTTTTTATATATATATATTTTTTTAGGTGGAACATGAACATTTACAGTCCGTAATGATGGGGTACTGCACTGGAATCCACGAGCACTTGGGTTTCCTCGACGTGCACCTCCACCTCAGTATCGTCAGGTGGCTAAATTTCGCGGGCTTGCACACCATTCCTTCCGGCACCGAGCACGACCGCTTGCTGAGGCACGAACCCGCGCGTACGAACCGCGGCCAGAAGCGGCTGCCGAGGCCAGTCCAGGAGTGAATCACCGGGCAGAAAGAGTACGCCCAGAGCCACTGCTGCAGTCGCCGCTTCAGCTTATTACTCGGCTTCTTGGGCTTATTGCCGCCGAGCGGCACGTCGAACGCAAGAGCCCGGATCTCTTTGGGCAGAACCCCGCCTGGCTTGTGGACGTTGTCCGCGTCCTCCCAGAAAAAGTCCTCCAGATCGTCATTAGCGATAAACTTGTCCTCCGCGGGCGGAGGGTGCACTGAAAGAAAGTTGCTGTCGAAGTTCCCCAGGATGCTCTTCAGCTCTGTCTCGTTTAGGTCCCGCTCCTTCGGGTCCATTTCTGGATTCGGATCCTCTTTGAGCTCCAGCAGCGGTAGACTGTCGCTGGGGATGGGCCTCAGGAGATAGTAATGCTGGCACGAACTGCCGTGCAGGAGAAATCCCAGAGGGAATATAAGCAGTAAGAGCGTGAGTCGATCCATAATGTTCTGCTGCGCGAACCCACGATCTGGTACAAACTGCTGCTGCTGCTCCTGCTTCTTCTTTGCGTAAAAGTAAATACTTTCAATAGCTTTTGCTGCTCCCTCCTTTGCGTAAAAGTAAATACTTTCAATAAAGTCCCCGTGCGTAATTACGCACCGGTCGTATCCAAAACTCCGACGTTAGGGTACGAATTTGAGCGTTTCCATATTGGGCAACATACGAACAGTTTTAGTCTCTGATCATATGGAAAATGATCGTGTTGATGGACGAGTCCGGGACGTCAGAAGTCGCTCGTCTCCTAAGGGTTGGCATGATGACCACTACCTTTGCTGCTGTCGACACTCTCAGCTGGATTTTAAAGAGCCGATGTTGCCGCCTTCAACGTTATATCCTCTCCACACCACGCGTGATGTCCTCTGCTCTCTGCCCCCCCCCCCCCCCCCCCCCCCCCCCCCCCGGGGGGGCCCCCCGCCCCACTGTTTGAGAAGTACATAACACGAGTTAGTAACAGTGACTGCTGACTTTTTTTTAATAAATTATGAACTATTTCCAACTGCCTTCTTCCCAAATACCTATTTCTTCTATTACACTGGAGCTTAGAGGGGGGTCAAAGAGAGGAGGGCTACGCCTCCTGTCGGTCTGTCAAGACTCCTCGGAGTGGGATTTCGAGACAATGCGAGGACTGCAACGACGAATTGATTGTTTCAAACTGAAACCATCACCACTACTACTTGCAAAAAAAAAAAAAAAAAACTAGAAAGAGGACAAAATCCATGCCATGGATTTCTGCCGATGTTTGACATTCACAGGAGTTGGTGAAAAACAAACAAAAAAAAAACATTGTGAAAAGAATTCAAGGTGACAGGTGAAAATTTCAGGCTGAATGCGAGTGACCTTAAGCACCCATAAAACGACTGCGTTGCCGAAGGACTGTTTTTGAGGTCACACAGTCTGGCTGGATGGTTTGCGGCCTGGAATCACACTCTCGTTGCAGTCATTCTGATGATTTCTCATTTAGCTGCTGAAGAAAAGCAGACTCGGGCTTCTGGCACACACGTTCAGAGTGGAGACCTGGTGAAAAGACATGGTGGATTTTAAACACAAATGTACACAGAAACGCACCGGGAGTTAAATTTGAAATACAAAAAAAAAAAAAAAAAAAAATGAAGTTCAGGATTCATTCACACTACAGGTACTATCCACCATAACTGAGCGATGTACCGTCACCTTTAAGTTTTGACTAAAAGAAACTAGTACCAGGGACCAGGGTCAAGATCATGTGTCTTTATATAGAGAAAAAAAATTGTAAAAATTGTATCGGTTCTAACGTAGAGACTTTTAAGTAGAAGTCCACATCAGAAGTATCTGTACATTTTTAGGACCTGCAATGAGGCCAAACGATGGCGCAAACGCTAAAACTCTGTATAATGATTGTAGTGGATGCTAATTCCAGTGATTTCTCTTGCTAATACACATATCAAAAACACACGATTGATGCCGCTACTACTTTTTACACTTCGAATTTTGTTTGGCACTCGACTCTTGGTTCCTCCACCAGCCGAGAGCACAAATCCGAATTGTCTCCTGCTGTGAGTTTTTTTTTTTTTTGATTTTTTTTATGGAAAATTGCTGTCTCAGAGCACAGATCGTCAGTCCCAAACGCACTGTTGTCAGGTTTTTCTTTAACGTCATTTCATTTTATATCTTTTATTCCGTATGAACCTGAAAGTAACTTCACTTTGATCTATTATATAATTTCTGTCTACAAGGAATAATTATAAAAGAAGGTTTTGTCCTGAGAGCGGGTTTAGATCAATTTTCCATCCGCGCCAAAAAAAAAAATTTAACATCCTGGTAATATGATAATAAGACAATTTGCTTCATCCTTATTTATAGATTTCTGCACAAATTGTTTGTGTTGATTTTTTTTCCCTCAAAATGGCAGGAGATGGCTGTAAGAGATACTAGATTTAGCTGTAGGAGACACTAGAGTTAACTGTAGAAGACAGGGTTAGAGTTACAATTTGCTTCATCCTTATTTATAGATTTCTGCACAAATTGTTTGTGTTGATTTTTTTTCCCTCAAAATGGCAGGAGTTGGCTGTAAGAGATACTAGAGTTAGCTGTAGGAAATACTAGAGTTAGCTGTAGGAGACACTAGAGTTAGCTGCTGTAGGAGACACTAGAGTTAGCTGTTGGAGACACTAGAGTTAGCTGTAAAAGACACTAGAGTTAGCTGTAGGAGACACTAGAGTTAACTGTAGAAGACAGGGTTAGAGTTACAATTTGCTTCATCCTTATTTATAGATTTCTGCACAAATTGTTTGTGTTGATTTTTTTTCCCTCAAAATGGCAGGAGATGGCTGTAAGAGATACTAGATTTAGCTGTAGGAGACACTAGAGTTAACTGTAGAAGACAGGGTTAGAGTTACAATTTGCTTCATCCTTATTTATAGATTTCTGCACAAATTGTTTGTGTTGATTTTTTTCCCTCAAAATGGCAGGAGTTGGCTGTAAGAGATCTAAGAGTTGGCTGTGGGAGACACTAGAGTTAGCTGTAGAAGACAGGGTTAGAGTTACAATTTGCTTCATCCTTATTTATAGATTTCTGCACAAATTGTTTGTGTTGATTTTTTTCCCTCAAAATGGCAGGAGTTGGCTGTAGGAGATACTAGAGTTAGCTGTAAAAGACACTAGAGTTAGCTGTAGGAAATACTAGAGTTAGCTGTAGGAGACACTAGAGTTAGCTGCTGTAGGAGACACTAGAGTTAGCTGCTGTAGGAGACACTAGAGTTAGCTGCTGTAGGAGACACTAGAGTTAGCTGTTGGAGACACTAGAGTTAGCTGTAAGAGACACTAGAGTTAGCTGTAGGAGATACTAGAGTTAGCTGTAAAAGACACTAGAGTTAGCTGTAGGAGACACTAGAGTTAGCTGTTGGAGACACTAGAGTTAGCTGTAGAAGACAGGGTTAGAGTTACAATTTGCTTCATCCTTATTTATAGATTTCTGCACAAATTGTTTGTGTTGATTTTTTTTCCCTCAAAATGGCAGGAGTTGGCTGTAGGAGATACTAGAGTTAGCTGTAAAAGACACTAGAGTTAGCTGTAGGAGACACTAGAGTTAGCTGTAGAAGACAGGGTTAGAGTTACAATTTGCTTCATCCTTATTTATAGATTTATGCACAAATTGTTTGTGTATGATTTTCTTTCCCTCAAAATGGCAGGAGGGAAATGAAAGAAATACTTTTAAATATGTCAGTGGCACAAACTTACCACATGATGTAAACAAGTAGACTAGCAGTTTCTTTGTCCCCCATGATGTACAATGACAGTAATCCCCTCAGAAAATCTATGGCTTCTACACCGCCATATACTACATGCTTATGTAAAGCACTAAACAGGCCAGGAGTGTAGCCATGGGTGGTGATGTCGGGAGGCTGCAGGTTTTTTTTTTTTTTTTGCAGCTCCTGCAACACAAATGACTGTTTGTGCCACAAGACTTTCCCTCCAACCTTACCTGGGTCTGAAACTCTCAACTCATAATTCACACTTCATAAATCAAGATGACCAGCACTTGTGGCAATTCATCTCTCTCTGTACTGGATAAGAGTGGTGCTATTGTTGTTGCATTAAAGCGAAAGACAGTAAACCTTGAAAGTTTTTCATCGAGCTGTGTCAGAAAAGTCGAAGTTGCAAAAGTTAAGTTGAAAAAAAAATGTTAGTCATTTTTTTTTATTTATAGTATATGGTGGTGGTGTTTAAGGATCAGCTCAACTCTCAATCCGCAGTCCCTTGACCGGGACCCCAATCCATGGATCGTTTGGTACCAGCCCTCAGCGAATCGTAGCGATTCAAAGAGAATCCATTTGTTTTCGTTTACTTTCCTCATTTAAAGATAATCCAGCAAGGTTTCCAAATAATACGTCATTTAGGCGCCAATACAAACAGGATGATGTCTAAAATGCTTTATATTTTCAAAATTCAACAGTCCATAACAATATATATATATATAAAATGTCTGTTGGCTATAAATGTCTAAACAGAATGGAGTAGAGTCTAAATAACTGTCATTCATCTCTATGGAATTTGCTAACCTAGGAGACACTAGAGTTAGCTGTAGGAGGCACTAGAGTTAGCTGTAGGAGATACTAGAGTTAGCTGTAGGAGATACTAGAGTTAGCTGTAGGAGATACTAGAGTTAGCTGTAGGAAATACTAAAGTTAACTGTAGAAGACAGTAGAGTCAGCTGTGGGATACAATACAGCTAGCTGCAGAAAACACAAAAGTTAGCTCTAGAAGACACTACAGTTAGCTGTAGGAGATACTAGAGTTAGCTGTAAAAAACACCAGAGTAAGCTGTAGGAGACACTAGAGTTAGCTGTAGGAGATACTAGAGTTAGCTATAAAAAACACTAGAGTTAGCTCTAGGAGACACTAGAGTTAGCTGTAGGTAGTTAGGGAACAGAATTATTAAACTTGTTTTAACAACAATTTCTGACATAATGTAAACCACTGTTATACAAAGAATATCGCAAATTAATATTAACAACAACATGCAACGAGACGTGTATCTTACAAGATGCAACTGTGCAGTTTTAGCTCACGTAGTGTTTGTTTAAGCAGTTTCATACCTCGGTTTTGAAACATTTTTTTGTAACTAGGCCTATACTTGTCAAATTGATGGAACCTATGGCACACAACTAATGTCAAAATTGTGGTTACGTGATTCTAGATCAACTAGATAAACCAGTTTTTTTTTTCAGAAGTTCAAGGTGACGCTGGACTTAGACTGGTAGCACTTTCTCCTGCTCGCCTTTGTAGTGTGTCCTTTGTAGTAACATTAGATTTTTTTTTAAATTTGGAATGGTTCCCGGGCATTCTCAATTAATGACTCTTTAAAAGGAGAGGGGGATTGAAATGCTGAAAAATGCTTTCCGTTACCATTTTTTATACCAATATACTACAATATACTTTGTACCAATATACCAATATACCAATATACCAATATTGCTCAGTAGATTATGTCACACTGCTTGACATGTCGCTGATGCA